CCCCAAAACCCCAAAACCCCAAAACCCCAAAACCCCTAGAGATTTTACAAATTTTGAATAGTTTAAATTACAATGGTTACTTTTAAGCTGAAAATAACTTCAAATCCTTTAGAGACTGTGCTGGACAACCGTCTGCAATAGAAATCATGCCTTAGCCTTTGAAAGTCTGTCCTTGCAGAGATAGTTTAGTAGTTTAACCTGATAACAACCCCTAAACATCAAAACAACTAGATTTCTAAATCTAATAGATCCACAAATCCCAAGAAGACTAAAAACATTTAGAAGGTTGCATTATCATAACGAACAACTTATTTACAAGAATGTAAGATTTCCAGATTTTTATTAAAAACTAAAGTTTGAAGACATTTTAGACATGCTTAGAAGCACTTTAAGAGGTTGTAAATGAGTTTTAGATTAGTTAGGCTTTTGAAGAGGTTGATTTTGTGTAGAATGAAGTGAATTTGAAAGAGTTGTTAAGCAATCCACAAATTAGGGAAGCAAGTTGTGAAGAAGATGGAGAGTGAAGGTAAGGTAAGATTTTAGCGTACTTAATTCCCATGTTTAATTAGGATTAACCGTCTATCTATAATTTTCGCAGATAACTAAATTAAAAACATCATAAAATCTCCTTATCAACTTCAAAGCACCAATTCAAACCTTCCAAAAATTTTAATCCCCTCAATTTCCATCTTCAACTCAAGCCCATAACCCTCCCATCAAAACCTAATTAAACCTCCTAAGGAATATTTTAGGAGCTTATCCCAGCTATGTTCCCCAACAGTGATTCCAAACTTCACTTAAATCCTTTCAAAATTAAAGCCAGTATTAAGAAAGTCACTCAGAAACTCCATGCCAAAGGTAGCTTCAAAGCTCAAGAGAAGGCTGAACCCCAAGAAGGTGCCAAAAGTAGCGACAGAGAACGCCAAGCCTCGCTTATGGGTGGGCTTACAATATTAGGAGACTTTCTTGGGGATAATTTCGGGTTTCTGAGCTTAAGGATTCAGCCCTCAACCTCTTGGTGGTCAAGATTCAGTAATAAATTAATAAATGTTTTCATTATTTAAGAATAATTTTGGGGTTTTGGGGTTTTGGGGTTTTGGGGTTTTGGGG